ATTTAAAGATTTTGACTATTGTACTGCATCTAATTCTTCCTGCTTTAGAAAGGCAAATATTCATCACTCCTATAATATTAAATTATCTGTTATTTTAATTGACTTATACATGACTTATTTTAAGTAATATTTTTATATAATATATAAATAAATATTGAATTTTTTTTTTGTCTAATAGGCAATTCATTTTTAATAAATTCATTTGATGAAATAATATTTTCAATTGCCAAAATAAATACAGGGGAAATGGTTTTAGAATCCAACTTCTGCTGCTAATATTATTTACAGGGAAGCCGTCTCTTGGTAATTTTTTCTTCTGCTTCTGTTATCGCGGGAAGATTTTCCTTCTGTTAGTAGTCATTATTATTATTATTTTAATTCTCAATAATAATCACAGAAAATAAGGTTACATGTCAAATAGAAGTAAGAAGAATTAACCGAGAAGCACTTAATGAAGGAAATAAAACCAACTTTCAGAAATTAATCGAACTTTTACAACAACATACACTCCAACGTATCTGCTCAAGTTTTTCAATGCAATTCTTCAATTCTTTGGTACAACAAAGAAGCAAATGTGCAAAACAGAAACTAAACCATGACAGAACAGCGTCAAGAATGGTGAGACCCCAATAGTATCTGCCTGCGAACCACAAATCTCTCTTTTGACCCATGATGTAGCATTTAACCCTACCAAAAGACAACATTAGCTCTTATCTGACAACTGCCCTCCTAGTTTCACATCCAATGCCAATCACATAAACATATATCCACATGCACCAGTCAGGATAAGGGTTTAATTAGCGGTCCGCAAACCTGCTGGTGTTATCTAGAGCTGTCACAAGAATTGTCCACGTTGCTGCCTGGGCAATCTTTCCTTCCTTCTGAATCAGACCTGAGAAATAACAGCAGTGGATAATCCAGTTTAGAGAACTAACAGTTAGGATGAATGAATAATCTGCATTTCAGTTCAGATTATCATACACTGTCTGTCGAACAAATTGTCCCTTGACACGAGGTCGCTGTTCTGCTAATTTTTTCCTGCTCTGATACCGCACCTGAGAAACAAAACAACAAAAGACTGGGATATCTCACATAATTGAGAATAATGTATAACTTAAATTGAGAAAGCAAAGCTCTCTACGAGATCTCAGTATGAAAATTGACAACAGGCTGAAGTCTAGAAAAACAAATTCTGTGTGAATATCACTGTCAAACTCTGCTACATGCAAACACTCTTTTAAACATTGTATTTGCTGGCAGTGCTGCCACTATCAATTGCCTGTGGAGGGAGAGGAATAGTAGGATTTTTAAGCAGGAATCCCATACTCCTCTGCACTTTGTTTCTTGGACTATATGTTTTGAATTGTTTAAGTTCGTGAGAATTGATTGAGATGTAAATCTGGGGATGCCTGGGTAACTGAATGTACTGACAATGGCTTTAGATGCTGAAAGATTCAGTGCTAATCTCAAGGAAAAGATACAAACTACACTATAGCTTGCAAAAAAACAAATGAAGAGTGAGTTACCTTCTTTTCAAAACATCTTTCTTTCCTTTTCTGACGAAATTTGGTCAATGCAGCTTCTCTATGTGCAGCCCTATCTTCATCCAAACCACTAGCACTGGTTCTCCCACTGATAGCACCAGCTTCACTGTTCCCAGCTGCCCCATTGTCACTTTCCACATTTGTCTGTTCAGCATTGGGAGCAATGCTGCTGCCATTGGGTCCATTGCTACCATGGTTACTCCCTGAGGCGCTTCCATTTACACTGTAGTTTACAACATTACATTCAGTGGGCCCCTCAAAGACATTTGATGAGCCACATTGCCTAGAAGTTATTGCCATACTCTTTAATGAGCTCTCTGTCTGTGACTGCTGTTGCATAGAATGGTGATAATAACCGTGCTGGATTGTGAACAGCTGGTTTGAGCCACTAACTTGTGCATCAACTGCATTAACCCCCATATGATCCGCCTTTTCAGGTAAAGCTTCTTGTGCTGAAGAAATAGGGCCATTCTGTGCAGGTTGAAAGGCAGAAGAGTGAAAAGGTTTAAATGCTGACAAGGACTCAAACTTCTCTTTCAGTGCCTCTGGCTTCGGGGTAACATATTTGGCAGTGGAGATGATATCATTGTTATTGCTACTGCCATTTGACTGATGATTGAGAAGAATTCCATTTGAATGAGATGGAAAATTTTGCGTTGTTTCTGTCTTCATGGCAACAGAACTATTATCATGTGGAGAATTGCTTCCTACATTTCCTGTGGGAGTCTGGAAAATAATGGAAATCACATTACATCTTGACACATGTTTTGCTCTTAACACAGCACACCAATTGCCACAGGCCACATTTAAATTACAGAGGACAATGTTTTCATTTCAAAAGAAGCCAGGGCAATTCAGTAATTTAATTGATTTCTATTCCTAGTGACTGACAACAGACCGTGATTCCATCCACATCACAGTTTGGGAGCAACCAACATAAACTGGGTGCATTTTTGCAGTGATTGAAACAGCACCTCAACCATGACATTTATTAGCTACATGGATTGAAATTAGATCGTACCTGATTAGCAGAAGCAGTATTGTATCTGTATATTCAAGCAAGAAAAAAAAATGAAAAGGAGTAAATTTCAGTTTGATGCTACCGATTTATGGGTACTAAACATGAAATTTAAACCACAAGTTCAGTATCTTACTTGGAAAAAGCTGATGATTCAGAATGTCTCAAAACATTTTGGTCATCACTTGTAGCATTTCGACTAGCTCCATCTCCTTGCGGCCTTTTTAGAGTTAGTTCAAGGGATGGTACCTCTCCAGAACTAAAGCATGCCTTATCCTTGACATATGAGATAGCAGACGGGCCAGTTGGAGTACCCAGATCACTAGTTCCAGCTTGATGATTCATATTACCTATTCCAGTGATTATATTAGGACATAGATCTTTGCAAGTCATATTTTCTTTCTCCTGATCCATCTGTCCACTCTCCAGTAACTGCTTACAATCTGCTTCCAGCAGTCTATTCTGCTTTCTGCTTCTTTGATGAGTAGATAAATTGTCACATTGATTTTCAGCCTGTAAATCTGGATTTCTTTTAATTCCTATTTCAAAGTCCTTTCCCACGGGAGCATCATCTGGAAAATGGAATGCATACAGCTTTATTTGCTAAAATGGATTTAACAAGAAGACCAAAAAGTAGGGGAAAATTTTGAGGTTCACCATTCTGTTCATCCTCTTCTTGGCCTTCCCTTGGCCCAGAGATGCATACATGCTGATTACCATGTGTTTCAGGGTTTGCATGGATCACCTGGGCACAGATACTATCAGGAGCATCGGGCAATTGATTTGAGGATGATGTTGGCTGAGAGCTCTCAACAGCTGCCCTTTTCGTCCATGAACTCTGCAGAATAAGAAGAAAAACAAGGCTTTCTGTAGCTAACAGTATTCTTTCAGATATTGTTAGGATAAGACAGAATTCACAATTGTACTCATACCCTCCCCCCAACCCCAATTCCAAAAAATGTACATAGAACTGAGTGACATCACTCAACTAAATATTTCTCTATGGAAAACATGCCCACATAGAGAAGGTTTATGCCCTATATTAATATGTTTGGTTGGTATGGTACCTATGCCTAACCACTACTAGATTTTCCACTCCCAAATTTAGATGGTTAAAAATTGCTGCTTAGGATATGCAAATGGAACAGAGATTGTGTATTTTCAGGGGAATTCCCCTGTAACATTCTGTCATAATTTGTGCAAAATTGGAAATGTTCAATGGCCACTAACAGAAAAGACAAAAAAGAAAAGAAAAAGGCCTTTATTTGGTGAAGCACATAGTGCTAGGAAATTTGTTATCCAGTTTTAAATATACAGCCTCAGAGAAAATCAAATTCAATATTTGGCACCCTCACTCTATAAAATATTTCCTAGAGGGGCATAAAAAAATCCAAGAATGCAAAAAGTATTATTACCTGAGTGCCACTCCCATTGTCACTTCCATCACATATCATCAGACCATCACTTCCATTGTCATGCTCATCACTGCTGCCAGTGTTGTTTTCAAAGTCATCATTACATTTTGACTTTGTAGATCTTTTACTCTGTGTCCCACTTTCACTCCCACTCCCACTACCACTAGACTGAGAAAGGAAGAACAATTAATACCAAATTCGAGGAAATAATTTAATCAGCAATCCTTCTTCACAAAGAACTGAATGTCATAAACTAATCAAAAGCAAGATTCACCAACTGTGAAACAAACATCCATCAGAATAAGATGGACTTCAAGAACAGGAATCTAATTCTAATGCCATGACAGGATTCAACTTTACTACACCAGTATATTCCAGTATCAACCCTGGCAATGGTTCATAACGTTTTAATCACACGCCTAAAGGAAAACTGTAGAGCTACTCACACTGTGGCATCTCCTCCAAACATGCTGCCATAGGTTCTTAAGTTCATTCTTTCGAATAGGTTTCACCAAAAAATCAACAGCACCCTTTGACAAACACTTAAAGACTAGACCCATGGAATCATGAGATGACATCACTGCAAAGACAGTTCATCAGCTAGGGTTATAGGTAGATGCATCAACAAGCAATAACCATAGCAGAAATATACCTCATTTCTCAATTAAACCAAAACGGAAACACATGTGAATGATACTTACTTATAACAGGAATATTCTTGACAGATTTGTGGCTCATGATCTTGCTTAAAAGACCAAGTCCTGACAATACAGGCATGACTACCTCCGTTAGCACAAGATCGACATGATTAGTCAGATCTTCTAGGATTTTCCATGCTTGAACACCATTTGCAACAGCTGTAACTGCCAAAATGACATTGAAGGTTAGAAGAGGTAAAGATCTCTCACTTTAAAGATAGCTTAACTTCTCCCATAACATATGACAGTATAAGAAGGCACTTCAAAGCAATCCAAAACCATACTTTTAATGTTTGAAACACCCCCCCCCCAAAAAAAAAAAAAAAAAAAAAAACTTCGAGTGCTTGATGCTTGTAGTATGAAATTGGTGATTGCACTTGACAAACTAAACCACAAGCAAGATGACAAGTATGCCAAATGCCCAAATCTATTCGGATAATGTGGACTACAAGCAGCCAAGCAATCTAGACATAGAATGGTAGAATGATTAAGCTAGAGAAAAGTAAGGTAATTCAACTTTTTGAACAGACGAGCATCTTGTTAGAAATGATAATCTATTAATGATGTCTACCAAAATTTTTTTCCTGTAGTACGTCAGAAAATGGCCTTCAAGGTTACAGTATTCAATTCACAAAATGAAAGAAAATATGCTTACCTTCATAACTGCAATTCCGCAGTAAGGCACTAACAAGATTACGCGTGGATTCATCATTCTCCACTAGGAGAACCTTCAGTGATCTAACAGGAAGAAATCTCTCCCAACGTATCACTGGACCTTGAGGTTGTGGTTTTGGTATCTGCAATCCATTTTGAACCTCCGTTACCCCTCTATTTACATTCACAATTGCATTATCAATCCTTGATTCATCTTCCTCAGATGACCCTAAGTCCTGCCCCTCACTAACTACTCCATTTCTTACTTCCTTTTGCTCATGACACATACTGTTATTCTCTTCTGCCATTGCTCCAGCTGAACACTGTTAGAATACTGCAACCATCAACCAGATTGACAAAGACCAATAATGATGAATGACTAAGGTTGCATGTACTATAAATGCTTATTACAATAATTCTTGGCATACAAATCATCCAGAACCATTCCCCAATCACCATAATCTACAAAACCAATAAAACTATGAACCTCAGAGCAAAATTCATTCCAATAAATAAGCATAATTAACTCCCACATAGCCAAAACTAATGAGTTAAGCATGAAAAATTCAAGTTGCAGATGCTAACAGCCCAGGAAGATCACTGAAATTCCATACTTCAAAATTTAAACAAACAGACCAATGATTTGAAAGCTTCCGACGGGAAACAAAAATAATAACTAAACTAAGCAAGCACAAAACTTTTCCTGCAACTGCAATCCTCGAAGAAAAGAAAGTTATCAAAAGCAATTATCAGATCTAAATGTAAAGAAAGCAACAACTTATGTAATCAACATCCAAACACCATTATCTCTTCAAAACAACTCAAAATTCAGGATCCTAACATATCAAAAATATCCGAAACCAGCTTGGAACAGACAAAATCTGCATCACCGGTTAATGCAAAACAAATCGAACAACAAGGGACTATCTTTAACTGACAAAAAAAAAGAGGAAAAAAAAGAAAAGGATCCTCTTAGATATCGTGAAGAGAAAAACGCATTCAACCTCGTTTTTCTCTGCTCAGAAAAACAAAATCCACTTTATCCGGAACAAACAAGTGCAGATTTCTGTTGTTTCAGCACACATACTAATAAATTTTCCATCCTATAAAAATATTTTCTGAGCTGCCAAGCAGAGCATTAAGCAAAGGCGACCAGATTTAGTAGATTTGGTAAAGAAATTTTTTTTTTAAAAAAAAATCATAGAACAGAATAAATATTCGATATTCATCAAAGAAAATAAACATTCGAGCAAAAACAAACTTAAACAGAAGGACGAGACAACTGCACCTCTCAAAGCTCGTCGATGGGAGAGGAAACCGCCATTGTTGAACCTGGTAGAAGCTCTGAGACTAAGTAACCAGATTATGCTCCCTTAATCTGGTTTAACACCGATCATTAAGAGCTTCCAGCCATATTTTTTTCCATTTTCAGATGTATAAAAGAGGAAGTTTACACTTGAAGCTTTTTCGATTTCCTTTTTTTTTTTAATTATTTTATTATTTTAGGAAAGGAAAAAAAAAAGCTTGACTGCCAAAGGAGTTGAGGGGAAGGTGGAGTGATGGGAGAGAAGATATTATTCTGAAGATTGATGACGTGTCACAAATGGAGGTGTGGGTAGGCTCGGGGACGACGTGGAGCATGTGCTGTTCCTACGTGGACGAATCGTGGCCCTTCGATGAGTGGTGACTTGGACAAAATCAAAAGCTGGGATGCCAGAGTCGAAGGGCAGAATCTTCAAACGATCTTCCCTAGATCTGAGATGGAACACGTGGCGGCTACTGCGGGTCTCGAGGACTCATGGAAAACCCTAGGGACAAAGAAAACGCCGTCGTTTGAAGTACTAAGGAAAAGACCGTTCTCGCTCCGTATTGACAACAATACCCTTTTCCATTTGTTTTCTAAATACTGTAGTAAAGGAAAAAATTTTCTCTTTCTTAAAAAAAGTTCTTATCCATTTTGTTTTTTCTTTCTTTTCAATTATGTTTACGAGGAAACGTTGTATAGAGCACTTAAAAAAAAATGCAAAATTCAATAAAGCTCAAATATACTCGTCTTTTAAAAAGAAATTAATTAAAGGTCATTAGTTATTTTACTTTTTTTTTTTAAGTTATAAGGTAAGGAAGATATTTTTTAAATAATTGATTGAAGTTAAATTTTTATAACAATTAAATTCGAATGAACCATTAAATTCAAAATGTTAATTTGTAGAATGTTTTATTATTCACTTGTAATCAAGATTTTTCAATTATTAGTAAATGTGGTAGGCTAAATATTAGTATTATTATAATCTATTATCAGTTATACTTCAATTTTTTATCTATAAATTAATTTCAGATATATAGATTTTAAGTCTTAAACTTTGAATATGTCTAATAAAATCAAAACTTTTAAATTTCAAATAAATCATTCTTCTTATTTTTTTAATCTTATGTTGTTACAACAACTTTTTAATGCAATAAATAAAAGTGTTTTATAAATACTGTATATATATATGTATAAATGTAAAGGATTATTTCATTCAGTAACCTTCAATGATTTATGGTTGTAATTCATTAGCTATTTTTACTCGAAGTTACAGTTGCAGATCATTGTCGGTTGTCACTCCCTAAAACGATGCCGTTTTCAAATTCCTAGGCTTTTGTTGAAACGACGTAGTATGTGACATTCTGGCATATGCTTTTTATATCTGGAGCAAGGAAGAACAGGAGGAAAGGATGCTGAGGAATGGCGTTGATTAGAATGGTGGCAATGAAAGTTGTGCACGGCGGAGCATGGAGCTTGAGACATGGCCGTTTCAGCGCGGCCCAGCGGGCACAAACTATTAGGGCATTTTCCTCACTCGTGTCACCTCCGTCTAAGGCCGTCGTCTACGAAAATCACGGTTCACCGGACGCCGTCACCAGGTCGAAGACGGAATCTACTTGTGCCTGTCTCTCTAGCATTTGTGTGTTGACCACTTTTTTCTGTATTGATTTTCTTTTCTTTTGGTCTCTTTGATTTGCAGGGTGATCGAGCTGCCCCCAGTGGAAGTAAAGGAGAATCAAGTGTGCGTTAAAATGCTGGCTGTCCCGATTAATCCATCTGATATTAATCGAATTGAAGGTTTGAATTTGTTTCTCTTTCATTTATGATCCTTAACTAAGCTAATTAGCTATATAAAGCATAAATCACTTAAAATTTTTAATCGGTTTTTTCTTCTTTTGTCTCCAAAATTGTAAATTTTAGTTTGTGCTTTTCCACTCCAGTTAGGAATTGGTATTAAATTTTTTATGGGCCTTGTCTATAATTGAGTTGAAGTATGTAGCTTCCAATGATAATGCTTTATTGTTTGTTTGGTGAAAATGGTGGTAATGCAGGAGTCTACCCTGTTAGGCCACAAGTTCCAGCGGTTGGAGGATATGAGGGTGTTGGGGAAGTATACTCTGTCGGCTCTGCAGTTAAGGATCTCTCACCTGGTGATTGGGTGATTCCATCTCCACCCTCATTTGGTAGGTTTTGAGGCCTCATTTTGATCTTCTCTTTTAGCTTTGAATTGCTTTTGGGTTTATTGCAGACTACAGTCCAGTGAATTTAGTAGTATTTTGTTTGCGTTATGCTTTGTCAATGACTTTTAATGTGGAAAGGGAAAATGAAATGTTGGAAAATGGTTTTGAATGTTTATTATTTTCAATCTTTTGTGCATAATCCTTTTGAGCTCATGGAGGAAATAAAAATAAAATAAAATTGAATTCAGCCTGTTTAACAGTTACAATTCACAAAAGAGTCATTTTCGGCTGAGAGTGACTGCCAAAGTTGAGTTTGCTTCTTCCAATCTTCCATTTGCAACCTAATTAATTGGTGGAAGATTTACCTTTTTCATGTTCACTTAACCAAAAATAGCAAGATACAATTTCTTTCGTAAAAATATAGTTTTTGGACATCTTTTATGTTCTTTTTGACAAGAAAATTTAAATTTACAGGAACATGGCAGACATATATTGTCAAGGAGCAGGATGTCTGGCACAAAATCAATAAAGATTCACCAATGGAGTATGCTGCTACAATTACTGTTAATCCCTTGACTGCTTTGAGAATGCTCGAGGACTTCACTACTCTGAATTCAGGTAGTTTTGTGTATATGTAATATTAATAAGCTTAAGCCTCCCTTACTGTTCTTCCTGATTGTGTTGTCTATAAGCAGGAGATTCTATTGTGCAAAATGGGGCTACAAGTATTGTGGGGCAATGCATAATCCAGCTTGCACGATTCCGTGGAATCCACAGTATCAATATTATAAGGGACAGGTGGTAATGACATTTTGTATTCTTGCAAATGATTAAATTTATCAGTATAAAATGTTTTTGAAATCAGTATCAGTTTAAAATATTTACTTAAGAAAGGAAGTCATCCATGCTATCAAAAAGGCTTTGTTGCATTGTTGTATCTCTTAAAGTTATATATGGTTATTTACCGAAAAAAGAAGAAGTTATATATGGGTTAAAGCTCTCTGTTTTCTGACAACATACCTTCATTTCCCTTCTTCTGCTTGCTTTAGGCCAGGTTTAGATGAAGTACAGGAGAAGTTAAAAGCTCTTGGTGCAGATGAGGTGTTTACTGAGAGCCAACTAGAAGTGAAGAATGTGAAGGGTCTTCTGGTATCATTATGATCTATATTCACCATCTGAAAGTATCTGAAGTTGGGCTTATCTTTATTTCTTTCTCAAATATATTAGGCGGCCAACTCATGATTTCCATTTTACATCTAATTGACATGCTAGTCCAGTATACCTGAACCTGCTCTGGGATTCAACTGTGTTGGCGGAAATGCTGCTTCTTTGGTTCTTAAATTCTTGAGGTCTGACAATGTTAAATATCTTTTGGACTTTATACATTTCTTTTCAGTTTAGTGTCCAATTTACCTTGGAAAGCTAATGAATTTACCTTTTAGGATGGGAGGAACCATGGTAACGTACGGTGGAATGTCTAAGAAGCCCATTACTGTATCAACTTCATCCTTCATTTTCAAGGTCTCTTCCGTTCTTGTTCTTTGAACTTGCTGTTATCATGCATGTTCAGGTGCAATGAAAAATTGCTATCAATATGCAGGACCTATCCTTGAAGGGATTCTGGTTGCAGAAATGGTTGACTTCAGATAAAGCAAAAGAGTGCAGAAGCATGATAGATTATCTGCTGTGCCTGGCACGAGAAGGGAAGTTGAAATATGAGTATGTTCTCCTCATACACAAATGAACTTGTCGTGTTTTGATTTGAACAATATAATCTATTTCTCTATAGCATCGATTTCTTGTATGTAAACCAAGCCGCTCTATTTTTGCAGAATGGAATTGGTTCCTTTTGACAATTTTCACACTGCTCTCGATAAGGCACTTGGGAAACTTGGTAGCCAGCCGAAACAAGTGATCAAATTCTAAACCTTAAGCAGGACTCGAGAATGTCTTTGTTGTCTTTTATGTAGGCCGTGCATTGAGTCAAATTTCTAGGCACCACGATTATGACATTTTCTTGTGGGGCTCTGTATGTACAAAACTTTAATAGACAAGTCGAACATCAGAGAGCATTCAGAAATAGCAATCATCTTTTCTAATTTTTTGTATTAAGGAAATACTGAATGTCCGATTTTAAGATTCGTTTATGAAATAATATTGTGGGTGAATCATGTTAAGAATTAGACAAATCCACGTCTCAAGTGAAAGAATCGGCCAATAACTCCAAACATGCTTTATTTTCGCACATTTTTTGAATTCAAATTCTCTATTACATTTTGGTACATAACTGTGTGCCACTCTTTCAAATTCTCACATTAGTCCATACAAACGGGAACAGAAAACACAGTCCTACTATGATACATAAAAACTCACAAGACTTTGTATTCTTCACGCACCATTAATGGTGGCCGGATTCTCAAAAGGAATGAATCCGTTAAACTCCTCAACACCCATAAGTAGCAGACATTCCACCTTCTCAAACCATAATCCTTTTATAAGGGAGAACCTATCTCCCCAACTAATGTGCATGTACAGAAATCACTCTCGTATTATACATAAGCAAGACTTTTTTTTTTTCCATGACTCTAGTAGAGAGCATGCAAAATGAAATTAGAATGAATGTGATATGGTCATTCGAGCATGTTATCTGGATTGAAGTTCAAAGACTCCCTCCATATCAGCTCCTTTATATCTTCTTCATCCAAGGTTGTCTGTTCAAAATCAAAGTTGAAAGGCGATGGGCAAGTAGGTTCTTCATTGATCTCATGAAGGCTTGATAAGTATGGGTGATTCAACGCTTCCTCAACTTTTTCATGCATCATCAAAAGATTTTTCTTATCAGAAAGATGAGAAAATCGAAGAATGTGAGATTGTTTAATTGGCAGAGTAAGACTCACCAGTAATACGCTGGGATGGATCAAAAACCAGCATTTTCTCTGCAAGATCAACGGCCACAGGAGACACATCTGGAAACTTCCTGGAAAAGGGTTGCTTCGGAAAATGTGGAAGCTGCTTGACATACTTCCTAGCATTGTCATTTCTTAGGAATCCAAGATCTGAATCATCTGGCGATCCTAGTAGCTGTTCTCAAAAACAATCAAGAACCATATTCATAAGAATGAGTCTTACCAGTTATCAGTATTTTATCCACCTTCATGCATTTCTTTTCTTCTAGAAATGCCTAACTACAACCACACCATATATTCATACCTCAGTAATAAGGGCCAACTGCTGCACATAGTCTTTACCAGGAAAAAGTGGCTCCCTTCTAAGTATCTCCATGAGAATGCAACCAACAGACCAAATGTCAATAGCTGCAGTGTACTCTGAACAATTGAGCAGCAACTCAGGGGCCCGATACCAACGAGTAACAACATATTCTGTCATGAAGTCAGTTTCAGAGGTGGTTCTTGCAAGCCCAAAGTCACAAATTTTGAGATCACAACTTGCATTGAGAAGCAGATTGCTTGGTTTTAGATCTCGGTGCAAAACATTTGCCGAGTGTATGTACTTCAGCCCGCGTAACAGTTGATAGAGGAAATACTGGAGAGCAATCAAAAGTAATATTTCAAAAACTGTTCCACCATAGCAGTATTCAAGGTCATACAAGGTAACATTGAGAGAACCTAATGATGTACACATGAGTTGGGCTAACTACGAAGAACGAACCTGACAATGATCATCAGTCAAAGGCTGGCTGGACCGAATTATCTGATGCAGATCGGTATCCATTAGTTCATAGGCAATATACACATCATTGAACCTTTCCCTCTCAGGCGGTGGTATGATGTCCTTGATTTTGACAACCTGCACAAGGTCAGTGCCACATTTCATCTCTACTTCATTGAACAACATAACAAGGATAAGAATGACTAAATTAGGCATTAAATCAAACACAACGCAATTGATTTGGTATGTACATTGTCATGATCCATGTGACAAAGGAGTTTGATCTCCCGGAGTGTCCTCTTAGCATCAATCCTGTTGTCAAATGCATTCCCAATCTTTTTTATTGCAACAGCTTCATTTGTCTCACAATTTTTGGCACAACTACAATAAAAGAAACAAGAACTATCTCAAATCACAAAATTTCAAACAACTTACTGAAATTATCTTCATCAAATTATGTAATCAAGATTCAAATACATGGAATAAACAATCCTGATCAAAGTAAAATTAGCAGTAATTCCTAGTATCGAAAAAACCCAAATCATCAACAGATTCAAGCAATCCACAGAAATCCCTAATGGTGAAAAACCCAGAAAGAAAAAGCGGAGAGGAAGCGGGACAATACCAGACGATGCCATACGCGCCGCGACCAACGGGCTGAATAGGAGGAACATACTTGGAGGAGACCTCGAAAGGGTTACCCAGGATGTTATACTGCACGTATCTCCCCCCATAAATGGGAGTTCCTCTTCCTTCTGCTTCAATCTCCATTCCCATATTCTCCATCTTTACTTCCCAAAACTACTCTCCCAAAACCAGGACAGTTTGGAAAAGAGAAGCGATCAAAGGGGTTCTTTTATAAGTATTTCCAGGGGAGAAAAGGCAAAGGCGGAATAGGAAAGCGAGGATGGGGTCATCTGGGGACCATCTGACTCCGTTTTTGGTGAGGTGGATTGCATGTTTTAATGGGTGAAAAAGCTCAGTTTTTTGTTTCTTTGGTTTTTGGTAGATTTGAACTTTGAAGTTTGAATTTTGAATGTGAGAAATCGAAAAGGGGTTCTTTTGGGGTTTTCTGAAGACTCTTGAAGAGTCAAAAGCTCTCTCGCCCGGGGGACCAACAAGACTCCTGCTTCATCTCGTTCTCGTCTTCGTCTTCGTCTTCGTCTTCGTCGAATCCGCGCAACGTACACTGAAGATCCGCGCCACGAACACTGGTCTCCGGAGGAGACTATTTTAATCAAGTTCACGAGCGTTGATAAGGTCTACTAATTGTACAGTTGAGACCCACAATGGTGTTATTTTTTTCTTTTTTGAACCGTATGAAAAATGTTGATAAAAATAAAACACACTGTAACTTTAAAATTTATTAATTTAAAATTACCTAAAATTTTATATATATCATTTAATATAACTTATAAAAATAATGTGAGACAAATACCTCATAATTAAAATGTAATGATAATTATTTTGTAATTTAATATTTACTAAAAACATATTTTACTATTTAATATGATAAAGACAATAAATAAGTTAGTGGATAAATTTACTTTTTATCTCATTTTTTAAAATAACGTAAAAGTAAATATTCATTTGAAAAGAGAATGCCATGATAGCCCAGTGGCCACCATTCTCTTGTTAAGAGCTTCTCATGCTAAAGGATTTGAGGTATGGGGTTCGAATGACATTCTAACGTTAAAAGAAAAATTCATTTAAAAAAAAAGTTTTATAATTTAAATTATTTTAAATTATAAAATTCTAACTTTTTTTAGATGGAAGATCCTTAATATTGAGTAAACTTGGCAAATAAGTCGGATCGGATGAATTTAGATTGGATTATCTCGAATCTCGAGCTTTTAAATTAGGTCATTTCAAATGTTCGATTAAAAGAGTAGATCCATGATTTACCCACACGGGTTTTGAATTACGTCCAGTGAATCCAACTTTTAAAAAATTAAAACTAAAATTAAAATTTTTTAATATTTTTCTTTATTTTTTTAACAAAATTTAATACTAATTAACTATGCTATTTAGTTAGAAAATTTTGTTAAACACTAATTTTCATTTCATGATTCATTTTTTATTTCAATCTTAAGAAAAGAAAAAGGAAATATTACTGATTATATAGGTGAAACTAAGATATGTATCAAATATATAATGCTTATACAATATTTAGAATTCATAATTTTATAAAGGCATTAATTTTCATTAAAAGAAGAGACGTGAAAGATTAAAGTTAAAAAGATGAATCCAATATATATTATTAATATTTAGCGCCTATTCAATATTTATAAGGGCGTTCTATAAAAAATATAGTTCTATTCAATATTTAGAAGGGTATTATACAAAAAATATAACCATATTCAATATTAAAGTTCAAAAGGTAAATTCAAAATATGTTTAAACAAATACAAGAAAAAATTGGATTAAGATTGATTTTTATTAACTAAAAATAAATTATTAATTAAGAATAAATTAGCAACTAAAAACAAACCTTGATGTTCTTTGACGTTCTTGTCTTTGTGCTTCTAATGGTGATGAGGGTACCTCAACCATTAGATTTTAATTTTCAATAGGCATTCTTGCTTTCTATTTAGAAAAAAGAAAAAAGAAAAACAAAGGATCTTTTTGATAGTGCCATAGCCATATATCACCTAATATAATTTTTTACATGAGTGCCACCAAATAGAAGAATTAGAGAGCTTGAGATGAAGAAGAAAAGAGCGAGATTGGAGAAGAGGAAAAGTTGAGAAAAAGTGAAACTGACATAAGGTTAAAATTTGAGTATCTTATTTATTTATATTTTTAGGATTAAAAAATTAAAAATTAAAAATTAATTTTTAAGTATTCTAATAAAAAATAAATAAAATTCAAGGCATTTCTAGTAACTTAACTCACCGTGACTTAACCCATTTATATTTGAGTCTTTTTAGTTCGGATCATTTTAAATTTTGGAATAATATATAAACCTAACCCATAATGGTGGATAAGTTGGGTCAAATTTTCATATTGGGTCGAATTAGGTCCAATATTTAGACCCTCAACGAGTTCCTGTATTACGTTCAAAGTGTAAAACAGTACACCCATATTCTTTTTCGGTCTAAAAGTTTTGGGCCTTGACTCTTTGAAATGTTAAACGGGAACTCAACCCAAAAGCTTCTGTTAGGCTTGCCCAAGTTTTGTGTAAATTTTATTGCCAATAAAGAAAATGTTCATTATTTTTGTTTTTAACTATACAAAATTAAATATTTCATTTTATTTAGAAAACATAGTAATAAAATTTGGAATTGTGAAAAATTAGGCTATCTTGATAATTAAAATTTGAAAAAAAAAGACTTACATATTTTTAATAAATTAACACAAAAAATATATTATTAATATTTAAGTAATTTTATAGGTAATTCTGACAGGTATTGCAAAAATTAAAGTAAAAATATTTTATTAACATAACGTAACTTTTTAAAATTTTTTAAAGATTGAAGTAATAAATACTGATTTCAAAATTATAACATTATTATTTTCATTAAAAAAAAAAAAACAGGAATGACCTAAAAAGAAAAGAAAAGGAATGACATACAATTGGTTCGCATCTATCATTGTTATTGAATTATTCACAATTTTTTTAAAAATTATTTAAATAAAAATTATTTTTAATATTATAAAATTTATCTTCTATTTAATAATAAATATTATATAATTTCATATAACTTAAACCATATAATTTTTTTTATAGATAAAAAATGGTGAGAAATCACATTGTGTTTTATTTTTCTGGTAAAACAGAAATTGGCTGATGTGGCCCCTGGAAAAATTAGACTGTAGTGAAGACGGCGAGCAGCGCACACATAGCTGGCCGAAGAAACGTATTAGGAATATATATACTTTATGACTTAAATTTTTTTCTTTAAATGTCTACATCCTAAATCTAAAGTGTTCACAGGTGAGAGAGGAGGGAGACGTTTTTTTTTTTAATTAGCGTGAGAGAGACGTTTTATTTTTAGAATATAGTGGGATACATATTTTGATTTAATATATTTATTATTATTTATAAATTTAGTTATTAAAATTTATAATTTTAAATTATTTTATTTAAATTTAAATTTAAATATAAATATTATAAATTTTTAATAAATCTGTTATGGAAAAAATAAAAATAAAAACTTACATTTAAAAACTAGATTTTGCCTCTTTTGTTGCAAATGTAAAAAAGAATTTTTATTTCTTGACTTATTTGTTCCTTTATATGATTTAAATCTAAAAATTTAAAAATAAATAAATTAGATTTGATTTTTTTTTTTTTAGGCAAGACTCATTTTTCATTTAAAAAGAATAACAAATGAGAAAACAAAATTAAGCCATTTTGATATTTTAAATATTAAAATATTTAATATTAATTATATAATAAATATAATAAAATTAAAAATTATATTATATTTTATATATTCAATAAATGTAATTAAATATCATATGACATTCTTTTGATTTTGCCCTTGCCCATTACTAATTCATAATTCCCGAATTGAAAGCTCCGAAATCAAAGTCAAAGTGAGCTGTGTTCAAGTATAAAATTCAAGCACCAAGTTTACTTGACCCTTGAAAACGCCAACGAGAAACAAATGTAAAACAAAACCAAGTATACACAAAATCTTGGTCAATATATAGATGATGACTATTTTTTTTTTCTTAATGGAAAAGGAAATGTTGTTTAACAGTGTTTGATGTGAAAATGTTTGGAACCCCAATCATATAACTTCTCTTATCTTTTTTTTTTTCAAAAAAAAAAAAAAATCATATGCATATGTACACCTCTGTATGTAATTTCCTCATCATTTCCGTCAATGGGTTGTTTGTTTGGTTACAACTATGAAACAAAAGCATGTTGCCTATGCCAAAATTAAGAAATTCGTAAAGAGATAATTACCCTTCCTTTTTTTCATCCATCTTTGCATCATCTTGACTCATACCATAATCACTTTATTTCTACAATAAAAAAAAAAAAAAGGGAATTACCGTCCAACCACAAAATTAATTATAGACGTTGATCAATAAGCTCAACAATAAACTTGTTTAATTAAATTGGACCAACTCTAATAGGAATGGCAACAGGTCTCACGGGCGAAAGGAGACCTCCTCTCCATCCCCATCATTGCTAATGACAAGTACGAGGATCTCTATGGAGATTTTTGGTGGAGAGTCAAAAATAGCCTTTATCCTCGTGAAAGTCTTCACGAGTATTCAGAATCCCCATAAAATATTAAATGAGCTACAATTATTACCAAATGAGGAGAATCAGAGGTAGAGCAACAAAGGAGGAATCTGATGGTCAGTCGATTATTAGTAAGTGAGCTATGATTTAGAGGAATGGAGTAGGAGTGTCATCATTGTGAGGTAAAGAAGACTTGGAGTTGGAGCATTGGAGCTGGAGGCGAGTGAAGGCAACTCAAGTAAGCAGCCATTGTTGTCGAGAGCTTGAGGTTAATCAAGAGATGAGGAGTAGAGCTAAGAGGATGAATCTAAAAATTCAACATTTGATGTTTGACAGTCAGCTACTAGGGTTGGTTATTACTAAAATGAGCTGCACAAATTGGGCTAGGCAATTGGATTTGGGAAGACTGGAAAAGGAATCGATTGGGTAATTTAGGTTGAATTGGTATTGGATTAGCTAATTGAGTTGGATAAATAAAAACTAATTAATAATATATTTATAAAAATATATAAAAATAAATATATTTTTTTTATTTTATATGAATTCTTATAGATCCCAACGAGACGAAGGAAATTTCTTGTGAATATTCATAAAGAAAAAAATGCCTTCATCCTTATCTTATAAGGAGGAATATTCTTAAAATTTTCATTCCCGTGACGAAAATCCTCATAAAACTCCATAGGTCTTAAAGGAAATTGCCATCCCTAAACTTTATTC